CCGCGCCCGCAAGAGGAACATGGATATTGGACATGTTCATCTTGGAAACCAGATACTGAAAGGGTTGGGTACCAAGGGCCTTAGTCAAAATGTCTGCCACTTGCTCTTTGGAAGATACATGGCTGAGATGAACAATACCATTTGAAATTTTCTCCCTTCTAAGATGGCAGTCAATCTCTATGTGTTTAGTCCTCTCATGGAAGATTTGATTGTGAGCAATGGCAATGGCTAACCTGCTGTCTGAAAAAATAGACACTGGGAAATTGTGTGAGATTTTTAAGTCAGAAAGTAAGTATAGGAGCCATTGAGCTTCACAAGATGCTGATGCTATGGCTCTATACTCACTTTCTGCAGAAGACCGGCTTATGGTGGTTTGTTTTTTAGATTTTCAGGAAACCATAGAATTACCCAAAAAGAACACAAAACCAGTTATGCTTTTTCTGGAATCTATGCAACCAGCCCAATCACTATCACAAAAACAATGTAAAGATAAGGATGAGTCCTGGGAAAGAGAATACCTTGCCACACAGAATTTTTGATATACCTCAGAACTCTATATTCTGCAGCCAAATGAATCTCAGTGGGATTGCACATGTGTTGACTTAGGGCCTGCACACTATAAGAAATATCTGGTCTGGAAATGGTTAGATATAATAATTTGCCAATCAACCTTCTATATGAGTTAGGATCTGTGGATTTGATTCCACTGGCAGGGAGAGGTTAATTTGAGATTATTATCCATAGGTGTAGTGGCAGGCTTGCCAGCCAAAAAACTAGAATCAGACAATATATCTAAGGCATATTTTCTCTGACATAAGTTTATGCCTTTTTCAGAATGAGCAACCTCAATTACTAAGATATACTTTAGTTGGACAAGATCATTGATAGTAAAACAATCATCTAAATGGTTTTTGATTGCAGTAATTTGACTGAGATCATCACCAGTTAATATAATGTCATCCACATATATGAGCAATGCCAGAAAATGGTTATCAGTTTGCAATGTGAATAATGAGCAATCAGATACAGATTGACTGAAGCCATAATGCAAAAAACATGTGGTCAATTTCTAAAACCATTGTCTAGAGGCTTGTTTAAGGCCATAAAGACTTTTGGTTAATTTACAGACCCTAGTATCATTCAGAGAATAAGATAAATAACCAGGGAGTGGGGTCATGTAAACTTCCTCATTGAGGTCACCATGCAGAAATGCATTATTGACATCTAGTTGATGCACATTCCAATGCTTTATGCATGCAACAGCAAGAAGTAGTCTCACAGTGGTTATCTTAGCAACAAGAGAGAATGTATCAAAGTAGTCTATACCTTCTTCCTGTGTGTAACCCTTTGCAACTAATCTTGCTTTATATATTTCTATAGATCCATTTGACTTATATATTATTTTAAAAACCCATTTACACCCTATGGTGTGTTTACCAGGGGGTAAATCTGTTAGGACCCATGTTTTAGTTTGCTCAAGGGCTTGTAACTCTTTGTTCATGGCAGCTTGTCAAAGTGGGTCCTTAACAGATTGTTTGTAAGTTTTGGGTTTAGTCATAGTGGATATTGATGTAGTAAAACATGCATGGGATGATGATAGTTGTGATGTGGACAGATGATGTTCAATGGGATTTTTGATAGTGTTATGAGATGTACCAGAAATGTCATCATGATCCTTACTGTAGGCAAGGTTATTGGATGGAGGAAGAGAATGTTTGTACACATGAAGGTAAGAGGGTATATTTCTTTTTCTGGAAGACCTTCTTGAGGTGGAAGTATCAGAAATTTGTTCATTATTTGTTGGATCGGGTTGGTTGGCCGTGGGAATTGGTTGATTGTCAGTAATTGATTGATTGTTTGGGGGATCAGGTTGATTGACTGTGGGAGTAGAGGATGTGTCTGTATGGGCTTGATTATGAGGAATTGTGTTATGGTTAAAGGGATCATGAGAGACGTCTAGGATCTTGGGGAACATTGAAGAGGAGTCAGAAGAATTATCAGATAAGAGTTTTTGAAAAGGAAGAATAGTTTCATAAAAGATGACATTTATGGAGATTATGATTTCTTGGTATCCAAATTGTAAAGTCTATAACCTTTACAACCGAGGGGATAACCAAGCAATATGCATTTTGATGCTCTAGATGCAAACTTAGTTCTACCTTGTTGTAAAGTGGATGCATAGAACAATGATCCTATGACCTTGAAATGATCATAAGTAGGTTTCTTTTGAAAAAGAAGTTCAAATGGAGATTTACCATGAAGAACACTATAAGGTATTCTGTTTATGATATGGGCAGCAGCAGTGATGCAGTCAATCCAAAAAGTTAATGGTAAGTGAGCATGGAACATAATAGCCCTAGCTACTTGCAATAAATGTTGACGTTACCTTTCAACTCTACCATTTTGTTGTGGAGTTTCAACACATGATGTTTGATGAATGATGTCATGAGAATGATAGAAATCCTGAAGAAGAAATTCAGTACCATCGTATGTTCTAATTGATATGATTTCTTATTGAACTGAGTGGAAACAAGATTATAAAAATGTTGAAGATAGTGATGAGTCTGATTTTAAAACCAATGGACATATCCAAGTTGTTCTACTATAATCATCTACAATGGTAAGAAAATATTTTTTACCAGAGATAGATGTGACATAGATTGGACCCCAGAGGTCACAATGAATCAACTCAAATGCTGTAGATGCAACAGATGTGCTAATAGGGAATGGTAATCTCTTTTGTTTGCTGAAATGACAAATATCACAGGGATCATGTAAATGAGATTTATAAGTAATGGGATAAAGGTAATTGTGCAAGTTTATGATATGACAAATGTCCAAGTCTGGCATGCCAAATGTCAGAATCATGAGAAGATGCATGTGCAGTAGAACAGTTCATAACATGGGATACATGGTTGTCACATGATAGATGATGGTCAGATGATACATGGTTTTCAGGTGTAATGACAATAGCAGAAAGTTTGTCAGTAACATTATAATCAGAATGTAAAGACAAATGATATAAGCCATTCTTAGCTTCAGCAAAACCAATCATTTTGTTGATTTTGAGATCCTGTAAAATGCAATAAGTAGACAAAAAATTGACAGCACAGTTATTACCATAGGTCAGCTTGGAAACAGATATAAGATTGAAAGTAAAGGAAGGAACAAACAATACATTCTGCAGCACAAGATTAGGTCCCAGATTTATCTGTCCCACATGGCATGCAGAAGTATGTTGTCCATTAGGCAAATTAATGTTGATAGAAACAGATGTAGGAGGAGAAGAATATAATGAAAAATCACAAATCATATAATCAGTAGCACAAGTATCAAGTATCCATGTATGTTTGGTAACATGGGCATGTGCAGAACAAGAAATATGCACGGTACCTGCAGAAACAGATGCAGTGGCAACAACAGGAGATGAAGAAATAGGCTGTTGAGCTATTGTTTTCTTAAGAGCCTGAGATCTTTTAAAATCTAAGAACTCATGAAAGAGAGCATCAGTCATGTTGGGATTATTGTTTTCAGTGGATGATGATATTGGGTTAGGCAATGTAGCTGAAACAGAATTGGCAGCTATATGTGAGGGATGAACCTTAGGACCCTTAGGACCTACCCAATTGGAGGGATAACCAATGACCTGATAGCACCTTTCAGAAGAATGGTTGGTGTAACCACAATGTTGACATTTCATTTTTTTCTTGTCTTTAGATTGAGGAAAGGTTTGCTGTTTGGATTGAGAGGACTGAAATTTGTTCTGTGTTTGGGATGTTTTGAGGAACATAGCAAGGTGATCAGCAGTTTTATTTGGGATGTGAAGGTTTCTTTGACTCTCCTCTTGAAGTAGAAGTGAATAAACTTTTGAAAGCGAAGGAAGAGGAGATGTCAATAGAAACGACTTCGCATAGATGAAAATGAATCATTGAGGCCAATAAGAAATTTCATAACAGAATTAGACTGTTGAGCAGCATAGATGGCATCAAAAATGTTGCAAGTGCAGGAATTACATGCACCACAAGTACATCGAATAACAGTGCGATAAGTGACATATTCATCCCAGAAAGATTTGAAAGCATTATAATATTGCGTCACAGATAAAGAACCTTGGTCCATAGAACTCAGAGATTTTTCAAGTTGAAAAACCCTAGGACCACTACTCAAAGCATAACAAGATTTGATTTCATCCCAAACATCCTTTAGCAACAGTGAAAAACAACAATGATTGGCGAATATCATTTATAAAACCAGCCTTATTCTTAACACTGAGGGCCATTAGGACGGCGCGTGACCAAGAGACATAGTTGTCACCAGTGAAAACCTCAGCCACAATGAGCGCACCTGGATTATCACTCGGGTGAAGAAAAATGGCGAAGATGGATCGGTCGGCGGTGCAGTAGTAGTCATGGATGTGTCGGAAAATAAAAAGCAAATCTCAAATCAGAAGGCTTGAAAGAGTAGATTTAGGGTTTCGAGAACCAGATCTACATGTTCAAAACGCAGATCGAGAAGAAATAGTAAGCAGCGGAAGTTAAAAAACAGTAAAGGATCGAGAAAAAACTCAGCGATTGATACCATAATATGATTTATCGAACAGATTGTTCATATGAGATCAGATAGAACGAAAGAGAACGAGAGAAAAAGGAAAAACAACGTATTAGATCTGGAAAACGAGAATGAGAAAAAGTGTTTACAGAAACCCTAAAACTCCCTTTTATATGGGGAGAACAAAAGCTTGTTGGGCTGCTAATAATCTCTCAACATAAAATGTGGCCCAACATAAAACTAATGCAAAACAGGCTCGAATATACAAAATAAGTGCAACTAATACAAAATAAGCCCAAATATATGATTGTTACAACTTGTGGGTATTTGGTTTTGAATTTTACTAAACTTCTTTTCTTCTATCCACTGAATGCTACCAACAGCATCCAAGCCTCCTCAATTTGCCGCTTCATCTTTGTTTCTCGGGCTGAACAATCCACACAACATGTAGACCTCCTGGGACCAATTTATGTGTTTTTCCTGTCTATTATTTTTTTTTCCTTGTTTTTTCGGTCACATTTAGAGTATTTTCTCTTCCAATTTACCTCCAAGTAATTAATTATGCCCCACCAAAATAAACCCAGGCAGTCAACTTTAATTTCACATCTCCTTAGAAAATTTTCGATAACAGATTCTTGTGCGTTTTTTTTTACCATATACTCTTTCTTTCTTTCTTTCTTTTTTTCTTGTGATATTTAGAACAATGATTTATTCCCACACACGGCATCAGTTTGATGTGCGTGACTATAGGTCTACCAAGATTTTTGGTTGAACCACCTCGTCTCGAACATCTCATATTCTGAAGTTGGGCCAATTTACAAAATAGTATCAAGTGGCCCTGGGAGTACACTCCAACGCTCAAGCCAAAGATCTTATTTTCAAAGTATAGAAACTTATATATTAGAATATAAGTCTAGAAATTGAACCTGGACTCCTTATATTTTCATTCTCCAAAACAAAGGGTATTCAAGGTGTGTATATAAACAAATTACTTGAATATTTTTTAATAAATATATTAGTAAAGTGATTCCAATGTTTGGAAAAATTAATAAATATTTCAATCTGTATATAATAATGTTAAAATAGAAATAGGAAGAATATTTCCAACATCTTAAGAAATTGAAATTTAAAAGTAAAAAAAAAAAAGGAAAAAATACATAATATTGGAAAAAGGAAAAAAAAAGAATATAGGAAAGAAAAAAATTGTCACGCTTCATAGAAAGAATTTATAACATACTTGGTAATTTTGTTTAACTTTTACCATTATTAATAATTCTAAATATCTAATTAAGGATATTAAAATCAATTCAAAACAACACTCACAAAAAAATGAAACAAATTTAAAAACAAACAGGAATAGAATTGAGATACATACGAACATAAAGATAAGATAGAATGTATATCTACTAAAATAACTAATTTATGTTACTTTCAAAACTTCTAAATATTTCAAAAAAATTATGGGTCGGGAGAAACATAAAAGTTTTAAAAAAAACTATTACATTAATAGTAAAAATCAAAAATTTTGGTGGGAATTTTCATGCTTTTTTTAGGTTTTTCCTCATTGCTATTATAGTGTAATAGATTTTCATGTATTAAAACTAATACTGTATATTTTTAAACGATAGAACCCGAGTCAAATGGGACCTACAACACAATTTCAGCCTCTTTCTGACTTTTTTTTTTGTCCTTGAAAGGATGGATATTTTTCTTGTTTCTGTTTTTTTAGTTTCATTTGACTTGATGTATATCAGACGTTCTCGGCTTGTACACTTGTGACTTTTTAACCCATTTAGTCAATCTCCTGCCCTTATCTTTACTGCGCACACTTTACTCTACTCTAGAGTAGAGTGAAACATTAGTCTCCAGTTCTTGCTTCTACATTTTACTCTACATCAAATATATTATTTTTTATTTATTTTTATTTGAAATAAATTGGTATATATATGTATATTTAATCTTATATAAATATTTTTTACCCAAATAATAAAATTATGTTTATGTATAAAACACGAGACTTCTTCGTAAATTCAAACAATAGGAATGCACAAAATATGTGTTAAATTTTTATTCATATAATATCATTTTAATATTAAAATTTTGCAAAATAAAATTATAATACTTCAATAAAAAATTACAAATTTATTTAGCATAAAAAATACATTGGACAAAGTATTTAGCATAAAAAATACATTTCCTAATACACATTATACAACAATTTATCATTAATATTACCTTAAAAAAAATGTAGAGATGGCGCAATACTGTTGCTTTCTCTAACATAGCATATATGTTTGGCACAATATTGAGGGTGATTTTGTATGTTTGGCACAATATTGAGGGTGATTTTGCGTTACATTAGCGCATATTTTGAGAGATAGAGTAGGATTGAAGTTACTCTTAGGAATTTTTATATAGAGGTTGGGTATAGAGGTTGGAGGTCCGACTCCCTTGTTTAAAAAAAAAAAAAAAAAAAAA